GCCTTCTGTTTCATCTTATATAGGACCTCTCGTTGACCCTCGCTTGCCTTCTGTTTCATCTTGTATAGGACCTCTCTTTGGCCCTCACTTGCCTTCTTATATAGGACCTCTCTCCTTCTCTCACTTTCCTGGGCTTGGAGCTGTAGCAAGCTAACCTCTTGGAAGTTAACCTTCCAAGAAGATTGGAAGTCAATCTGTTCACAATCAGTTAAACGTCCCTACATGAATATGTCACGTAAGATGTGCTTCTATTTTTGCAAGTAAAACTTCTTTCTCTTGTGACCATCGGAGTCAGGCCATCTTTGTAATTTGTTTGAACAGGATTTTCCCCTTAACCGGGAAATGTGGAGAACTGGGGACATTGCATGAAGCCTCTGGGCTTCCAAGGCAATTGATTTTATTTTTTTTAACATTTAAACCAATAGGTGAACCCATGGAGTTCCTGTACAACGCTACTTCTCACAATCTTCTCCTCAAAGTCCCTCATTTGTTCTGTGGAGACTTTGGCACAATTTCTCAGTCACCCTCCCCTACTGAGCCTACAAACACACGACTGGAACGAACCCCCTCTTCTTCTCCTCCTGTTCCTCATCACAGGGTTGCCAACACCAGGTTAGGAGAGTCCTGGAGTTTTAGGGGGTGGGCAGAACCTGGGGAGGGCGGGGTTTAGGGAGGGGAGGGACTTCAGTGGCTGTAATGCCATAGAATCCCCCCTCCAAAGCAGCCATTTTCTCAACAGGAACTGATCTCTGTCATCTGGAGATCAGTTCTAATTCCGGGAGATGTCTAGGTCCCACCTGGAGGTTGGCGACCATAACAACGAGTTTAGAGGGCTAGAGATCTATTGGGGAACTCTGTCATCTGGAGATTAGTCATAATTCTGGGAGATCTTACCATCACCTAAAATGATGATGATGAAGAAGAGGAGGAGGAGGTGGATTTATACCCCACCCTTCACTTGTCGTCTCAGAGTGGCTTACAATTCCTTCCCTTCCTCTCCCTACAACAGACACCCTGTGAGGTAGGTGGGGCTGAGAGAGCTCTAAGAGAACTGTTATTGAGAGAACAGCTCTGAGAGAACTGTGACTCACCCAAGGTCACCCAGCTGGCTTCATGTAGAGGAGCGGGGAATCAAACCCGGTTCTCCAGATTAGCGTCTGCTACTCTTAACCACTACACTATTGGCTCATGCCTCTGGCCGAATTCTGGACTAAAAACAAAGATGGCCTGGGAGAGGGAGGGGAATCAGTGCCAGACTGTTAGCCTCCAGCCTAAAACCCACTTGACAGAGAGAGCAGGCATGTAGGGGGAAACTGCAGCAGAAACTTGGAAAAGGCGAAGAAATGCCGCTGTTCGGGACAAGATGGGCCTTTTGCGTGGCAAAGTCTTCCTTCCATGTCAGCTTCTCAAAATAGCTGAAAACTGTGTCTGGAGTCCTAACTGAATAAACTGGGGTAAAAGGGAAAACAGAAGTGGGTAAGAATGGTCTCCATGTGTCTGTTGGCAGCCACTGGGGAGTCGACGACTTCCTCCCATCCAGGAAGAGGTCAAAGGGATGTTGCATGAGGTCAGTGGGGCCGAGGGTTGCCAAGTCTGTGTTGGGAAGTTCTGGACATTTGGGAGTTGAGGGACATCAGCGGTGTCAAATGCCATAGACGTCACCCTCCAAAGTAGCCCTTTTCTCCAGGGGAACATCTCTGTCGTCTGGAGAGCAGTTGAAATTCCAGATCTCCGGACCCCACTAGGATAGGAAGTTAGCAGCCCTAGTTGCGGTCCCTCTTTCACACTCTTAGTCTTCCCTGGTGTTGCTGGAAAGGATCCTTGGTCCTTTCCTCAGATGTACGAAACTTAGAGGGCCTGGCTCCTAACTAGACGGGTTGGTGGGGGGATTGGGGGTGGGGGAGTGTACTCCTAGAGAGAGAGAACTCTTCTAAGGTACCCATTTCCTATTTGGACTTCTAAGTTGATTTACAGTGTCCTTTAGTCTCAATTGTATTTGCTGTGAGCCGTGGGAGCTCCATTATATTCCCTATTTTTGATGCTTTGTCTTCTCTAAATGGTTTTGCCTATCCGCGCCCCCCCCCCATTTTAGCCTGAGCCATCGTGGTTCTTGTATTAGCTGCATTCCGAGGAGAACTGAGTGTTGTGCTTCAATCAACTCTGTCATTTCAGTGAAATTCCAAGAGTCTGAATTCATCACTGTTTCAGTGGCTTAGTGGGGCAAAACTGGACCAGGGTTTAGAGACATCAGGCCCCTGGCATTGCTTGCTCTGACTGGCTGTGGCTCTTCAGGAAAGACTTTTCTAACCCTAAGAAAGACCTTTCCTGGCACCTTGTACCACAGGACCTTGGAGGTCCCAGAGACTCACTCTGGAATGTTTTGCATACAAAGCCTGTGCTTAACCAGTGAGCCATGGCTACCCCCCCCATCCCCCTAGCCCAAGTGTTTTGGGTCACTCGGCAAACTTCCCCACCCATTCAATATAAAGAAAAATAAGAATTCAAGAATAAACTACATTTACTTAGTGTTCAAAATGACCAGCGTAAAGATATTTTTTGGATTTTAATTTTGTTTAATTATTTTAATTGATTCTAACACCAGTATATTGTATAGGGTCCAGTAGGTGATATTGAAAAGTCGTAACTGTTTTTAGCAGGTCACAGTGTTTCCAGTCTGTACTGTGGACACTTCCAAAGAAACTAGTTTTGGGGTAGCTTTCTTCCTTAATTCTGGATGCAATACGTTTTTTTGTCAAATGCCATGGTATAAATGTTCTGAATTAAAGCCCTGTTCCAATTTTAAAAATTTATAAAAATAGGGGGAAAGGACATTACAGTACAGTAATATTTTTTGGTTAAAGTAATAGATACATGAATGAAAATGAGTCATAATAAGATAAACTAAATGTTGATTAAATAACGTAGAAAGATAAAAGTTATGCATTTCTGAGACAACAGGTGAAGATGGATGGCTGCGTTACCCTGTCCGTAGCAGCGGAAACGAGCAAGAGTCCAGCAGCACCTTAAAGACTTAACAAGATTTGTGGCAGGATGTGGGATTTCGGAAGAAGTGAGCAGTGACTCACAAAAGCTCATACCCTGCCACAAATGTTCTTAGTTTTTAAGGTGCGACTGGATTCATGAGATAGCAAAGTATGTACCTTCCTGCTGACCAAATCCTTTACTGGTGAGCAATGTCACACAGTGGCCAAAAATACCAGGTGCCATCAGGAGGTCCACCAGTGGAGCCAGGACATTAGAAGCCCTCCCACTGTTGCCCCCGAAGCACCAAGAAGACAGAGCATCACTTGCCCCAGAGGCAAGGGCAGAGTTTGGGGAGGGGAGGAGGCTTAGCAGGGATGTGCCTAACAGGAGAAATCGAAGTCCTACAACAGCTGTGCTCCGTAGTCACTCTAGATGTGGCCCCGTAGAACTCCGAGGAGCCCTGCCATCAGAAGCCTAAATGAGGGATTAAGATGTGGAATTTTCTGCCAGAGGATGTGGAGATGGCCCCAGGACGAAACAGCTTTAAAAAGGGATTAGATAGATTTATGGGGGAAAAGTCTATCAGTGGCTCCTGGCCATGGTGGCTGAGGGGAACCTCCACATTTAGAGGCACTAATCCTCTGAATCCCCGAGCCAGGAGGCAACATCGGGGGAAGGCCTCGGCCTCTATGCCCTGTTGTTGGCTGTCCAGAGGAACTGGTCGGCCACTGTGTGAGACGGGAGGTTGGACTAGGTAGGCTATTGGTCTGATCCAGCACGGCTCTTATGTTCTGTGTCTCTGAGTTCAGCCTGCCATCTCGAACAAAATGGGGCCGAGTCATCGAAAGACCGTGTCCCCTCATGCAGCTTCCTCTGTCAGAAACTTTGGAAAGGATAGTGGAGAAAACAAGCCAGGTTCGTCATTCCTCGGGGGAACATCTCGCCAAAATAGTCCGACTAGGATGAAAGTGTCAGTAATTTATAAACCATCAAGAAGATTTTTGCTCAGAGGCAGGTCTTTTCCAAATGTAATTTTAGAACAAATGTTGCCTCCAATTAGGGTTGCCAACCCCCCCGGTTTGCCAGGGGTCCCCTGTTTTTGGAGGGGTTCTATCCACCCGCAATACCCACAGGCACCCCTCTCTCTTCTCTCTTGAGAGAGAGGGGTGGCTGCCTTTAAGTGCATGGACGTTTCCTCCCAAGCCTTATCTCCGCTTAAGATCAGGCTTGCAGGGAAATGTCAGCGTGCACTTAAAAGGGAAATGCCGGCTGAGTGCTGAGTGCATAACAGTGTTTCATAAACTGTGTGTACAACAGTTACAAGCATAGACAGCTTCTAGAGGGGACTGGATAAACATCTGGAGCCAAGGTCCATCAGCGACTATCAGCCACAAAGTATTGGTGGAAGAGACTGGCTGGGGCGGTGATGCTCTGTCTTCGTGATGCTTGGAGGGCAACTGAGAGGGCTTCTGGACTTCTGGCGGCCCTCCTGATGGCTCCTGGGTTTTGGCCTCTGTGTGACACAGAGTGTTGGCTTGAACACCATGACATTTTATTCTATGTTCTGCAGAAAGGCAGCTCACAGGCTCCAAAAATTGAAACATAAAATCTATTTAGGCTGAGCCGATCCCACTGCCCATGCCTACCAGAGAAGTTATGTGTCTGTATGTGTATACATATACATACACATACACACACACACACACACACACACACACATATATCCCCATTAAAATAGGCCTAATATAGCCTGTTCCTTTGCAGTGGGATATCACATGTTTGGTGACATTTCTCTAACTTTCCCCTTTGCATCGTCTCTCCCGGGTGGCTCTCACTGGATATCTTCTCTATGGTCGAAACCGAGGGAGCTGTACGAGAGGGGGGGGGGTGCGTGGGATATAACAGCCATTTCCAGCTGCCTCCCAGAAGCGCCCTCCGAATCCCCCGGGCTGCTGTTTGAGCGACAGGGAGGGAACCTGGTGGTGAGTTCAAAGGAGCAGGGTGGGGTTGGGGAGCTGTCATCTCAGGCCCACTGCAGAGAGGAAGGGGTGGTGGTGGAGGGAAATCCTTCCCCCCTTGCAGTTCTCGGTTTTGCATTGGAGAGAGCGACGATGTCCCCGCAAGGGCTCGTGGTGCAGAATTCAAACCCGCCACCTAGAGAGGCACGTGGAGGGAGCCCTTTCCCGACTCCGGAGTTTCCCCGGGTGGCGGCTGGAAGGGCTGGGGGGGAGGATACGTGGGAGGGGCTGCAAGGGAAGGCCCAAAAGTGGCTGGCGGGCATCCCCCCTCTCCCCCCAGAAATACAGGCGAGCTGAGTCACTGCCCCCGGTGGTGGCTGAGTGCCGTCACCCGGAAGTGATGTAGGCAGGTCAGGGGGCAATGCTCTGGTCTTTGGACAAAACTCTATGGTAGAAGCTTATTGCCCACAAACCAGAGCGTCATCGCCGAATTTTTCGCGTCACTTCCGGGTTCCATAGGCGCCTCGCGTTTATCTCGGGCTCCTTCCCTCCCCATTCCCGGTAAGTGCTTCCTAGCACTTTAAAGGAGTTTAGAATTGTTTTACTCTAATTTATACTTTATGTACTATTGTAATTACCTGCTGCATGTGGGTAAGCCGCCCTGGCTGGGAGGGCGGGGTAAAAATTCAAATAATAATAATACTACTAAGTGCACCCCCACCCCCCGGGGAGATTTGGTGTTTGGGGTTGCTGGGTGGGAGAAGGAAGTAGCAGAGGCAGGAGGGGGGAAGTGGGGGGTGCCCAGGGAGGTAGTTTGGAAGGTGCAGCGATGCAGAAGGAAAAGCCAAGTGGGAGATTCAGTGCGGAACACAGACTGTGGCGCTTGAAGAAGAAGAAGAGGAGGAGGAGACTGGATTTGTACCCCACCCTTCACACACTCAATACTCCACTCCCAATCCACTTCCCAACTGGATTTTGCCAGTTCACACACTAAAATCCAGTTGGAAAGTGCACCGAAAGTGGGTTATTTAGTGTGTGTGGCCGCAGCCTATGAGTGAGTGACCCAAAATCACCCAGCTGGCTGCATGTGGAGGAGCGGGGAATCAAACCCAGTTCTCCAGATCCCTCCTCAGCTAAAAGGCCCTGCTGTGTTGTTTTGTTTTTCTTTTGAAAACGAATGCAGGTGTGTTACACTTTTCCCACAAGGTTTCTTTTTCTTGAGTTCCATTCTTTCAGGAAGTGGGTTTTCCTCCCTGCTTCCCCACACCACAGTGGTGCATTTAGGCACCTTCCAAGACTTCCCTGGTTTTTATCCGTATCGGGCACCTCAGGAGGCTGGACAGGGACGAAGTAGCTCCAGGTTCCATAGAGACGTACATAGGATGGAGACGCAGGGAGTGATGGAAAAAAGGCATCTGGACTTTGGTTTGGGGTGGGGAGGGAAGGCAGGAAGATTCCTAAAGGAAAGGCCAAGAGACAGCAAAAAGGGTTTCCCATCTTCTTTCTTTCTCTCCCTCCCAGGCAGCAGCAGAAAAATGCCTTTGAGGCCTTCTCCACCATCTTCTCCAGGTGCTGAAAGGAAAAGAGTCACCATGCGGCCAGCTCAGGTATTGGGGTGGGGTTTCATTGGGAAGACGTGCGGTCAGAGGGCAGAGATACTTCTTTCTCTCAAAGCGGATTGGGCTCCTTTTGCTTGATTCTGGCACTGTCCACTGGGAAGGCAGAAGATGACCACCTGCTGTCTGGGATGGCGCCTGGTTCTCCTGGTGCTGCAGCTGATTTTTAGACTAGGGAGATCAGGGCAGCCTCCACCCTGTCCTGTCCCTCTGCTGAGCTCCCTCCTTCCCATCCAACTCTGCCCTTCCAGGGCACCACCCCCAAATCTCCAGGTGTTCCCCAAGCCGGAATTGGCAGTCCTAGAGGAGAAGTAGATTTTATTTTATTTTTTAGCTTGGAAGTCCTAGCTGACTTCTGGCGACCCCTAGTGGGGCATGGAGGCCAGGGACGTTCAGAGGTGGCTTCCTATCACTTGCCCCTGCATTATGACAACCCTGGTATTCCTTGGAGGTCTCCCGTCCAAGTACTAACCAGGGTCGGCCCTGCTTAGCTTCCGAGATCTGATGAGATCGGGCTTGTTTGGGCTATCCAGGTCAGGGCGTGGAGAGCTGGATTTTGAGTCACACGGAATGTTTCTTGGCCTTGATGTTAAATCAAAAGAGGTGGGGTGGCTGATGTTATTGTTAGATGGTCCGACAGAAGCCCAGTTTGCAGTACTGGACAGTCTGAAGGTGGTGCCTGAGGAGACTTTTCACGAAGTTCACCTGTGCGTATCGAAAACGATCGTGGGTTGTACTAAGGCATGCTGGGACAAAGACACAATGGCTGCTTTCCTCTTGGGAAGGCGATAAGTTTACAATCTGTTCTGAGCATCCAAACTTGGCAGGTGGGTCATGGGAGGAGGCGGCCCTAACACGTATCCCATGTGGCTTTTATTGTTTGTATCCAGTGCTGCTTTTATTGTAGGATAAAATGTTCTTTGAGATGAACCACATTACACCTCTGTTGTTACCTGAAAGAGGAGGGGCAAGTGGTCAGAAATGTAGGGTCTGTGGGGATTTTGAGATACAGTTTTGCAGTGCAGTTTTTGTCCATGAACTTTCCCTAAGAACTGAACGTGACACCTCTGGCCTGTTGCTTCAACGGATCTGCTCCTCTTGCTGCTATGAATCAGCTCCCCAGACCCATTCTGCTCCCCATTCGGACATTCTGGTCCTATCGGCCAGATACCAACACCCTTTTGTGTGCTGAAAGCTCTCTCGCTCCAGAAGGGCCTCCATTCTAGTGGTGGAGCACCGATGTGTGATGGGAAGGAGGACCCCAATGGCTACTGGTCGTGGTGACTGAGGGGAGCCTCCATATTCAGGGGCACTGATCCCCTGAACCACAGAGCCAGGAGAGGCAACCTCAGGGGAAGGCCTCGGGCTCTCTGCCCTGTTGTTGGCCCTCCAGAGGGACTGGTTGGTCGCTGTGTGAGACAGGAGGCGGGACTAGATGGACCACTGGTCTGATCCAGCAGGGCTCTTCTGATGTTCTGATGACCTCAGTAAGAGGAAGCCAAAGCAAGTGGCAGGCTGGTAGCCCCCTGGTAGTGATGGCTGCCCCTCTGGTTGGAACCACTGATTTAATTCTTAATTGTATTTATTGTAACATGATGTTACCCGGCCTGAGCCTGCTCGTGGGATGGGCGAGATAGAAATACAAAAAATAAATGATAAATAAGATGCCCCAAGGAGAGCTGGGAAGGGGAAGTGTAAGGGCTCTGATTCCCCTCCTCTTTCTGCCACTCTTTAAGAATCATTTTGCTGTTTGGGTAGAGATGTAAAATTTCCGGAAATTTGGAACATAAAATATGACTATGGACATTTTTACTTGGCATGAAATTATCACAACTAGCATATTAAAAATATAGTGTATCCAAACAAGTATTACAAACAGAATACCCACTTACATGCAAAAACAAAACTGAAACCTTTTTATTTTCTTCTGACAACAGCACTTCCTAAAGGAAGAAATGCATCTTGTTCTTGCATTGGAGAGTTCAGTTTGTAACCTAGGACTTGCTTGTCCTCAGTGCACAGAAATTAGATCAATATGTTAGAAATGATTTGGAAAATATTTGAACACTTTGTCTTAAAATATTTTATTCATCATGTTAAAATAAAACGTTCCATAATCAATTTTTTTCTTTTCTATTCTTTTTTCAATTTTTCGGAAAAAAACAAAAACAGCTTCAGGAAAATAATACGAACCCCCCCCCCCCCGCGTTTTCCCTCTTCCCCCCCGAATTTTCCCGGTTTTTTTCCAGGCCTTCACATCTCTATGTTTGGGGTTTTTCCCCCATGGACCAGTTTTCCACTGATATTAAGAAATGCTTCCTTCTTTTTCCAGGGCCAGATGTCCTTTGAAGAGGTGGCCGTGTATTTCACCCAGGGGGAGTGGGCCCTGCTGCGCCCGGCCCAGAGAGCTCTCTACAAGGAAGTCATGCTGGATAACTTTGGGAACGTGGCCTCTCTGGGTAAGGAGTTCGTTTTCCCTTGACTCGCCCCTCAATATTGTGGGGAGTGACGATGCCTAAGCTCTGTGAACCTGTACATAGACCTGGCTGGAGTCCCGGTTCCTCCTTGTGGCGAATGGAGCACCAAACGAGAGGACATGAGGAGAAGCTGGTGCCCAGGGGTGCTCCCTTTGGAGAGGGTGGATCAGCCAGAGCAGGTGTTTCCCTCCAGCCTGGGGCTTCCTTGGCCTGTGTTTGCAAAGGGGCTAGAGAGTTACAAACGGAGGGTGTGGAAGGAAAGATGAATGTGAGGGTATGTCCTGTGGAAGGAAAACCGAACTGGAGAAACGGAGTCATATGCTTGCCTGTCCATGTTAGTCTGTCCGTAGTAGTAGGAAAGATCAAGAGTCCTACGGCACCTTCAAGACTAGTGAGATTTGGGGCAAGGTATGAGCTTTTTGTAAGTCACAGTATCTGAAGAAGTGAGCCGCGACTCATGAAAGGTCCTACCCTGCCACAAATGTTGTTAGTCTTTGGGGTGCCATGGAACTCTGGCTCTTTTCTGCTGTCCTGAAGAAGGTGTGTCGTGCCATGTAAGTGGTGGAAGATTGTCTAGGGGAAATAACAAGCAGAAAATGGTGGGGGGCGGGGAGCCCTTTGTGTGCCTTTTTCCTTGACTCCCACCTTGACTCCCACCAGGCGATTGTAAAGAGGAAGTATCTTGTGGGCCGAGCAACCGACACCACGGGCCACAGCCCCTTCTGGGGTGGGTGGAAGAATGAATATGATCACTGTGGGAATATTAGTGGGGAAGGAGATGAGTATTTGATGAGGTTTCTGGGCCTATCTGCATTGCGGGGAATGTTTTTGAGAGGTGTGGAATGCCTTGTTATTGTCTTGTTAGGGTCAAAACGTGGGTCATTACTCACAGGCTGCATAGTCACAGGAGAGCCACAGGTTGTCGATTAAGGAGTGGAGGTGTTCCTGTGGAAACAGGGCTCCCTGCCTCTTAGAACAGGATTTCATGGGCTCTGGGGTGGTAGAAGAGGGAGTCCCTCTGGACCTCTTGACTTCAGATGGCCCTGGGACCCAGGGGGCTCTGAAGCCAGGTTTCTGGGGGGGGTGTGTGCATGTGTGTGTGTGTGTGTCTTCCGTGACTTGGTTCCTAACTGGACAAGCAGTGAACGTATAGTTGCCCTTGCCAGACGAATGAGCTCCGTCCAGCTATCTTAGTTGTGACAGGGCAGACTCAAGGTGGCTTTCCGAGCACACAGAACAAACCTAATTGTGGTTTTGTTTCCATCTGAAAAAGGACCTGGGATGGCCAAACCTGACCTCATATCCTGGCTGGAGAAAGAAGAAGAGCTTTTTGTCCGCGGCTGCGATGAAGAGGAAGGGTTGGCAGGTAGGTCTGTAAGAGGGACTCACAAATATCTGGGAACTCCTCCGGGGTTCCTTCCCAGGTCTAGTAAACTCTCCTGGTCAAGTTTTAGTAGTCCAGACTATTCTGACCTCAAATTCTGCCCCAAACATTCCCTTTGTCCTCATGTGGAAATGGTCTCGAAAGCCCCTTTGCAGCCTTTTTAGATGAGCCTTTTCGGGTGTCTCTTGCTCAGGTGTCCAGTATTTCACGTTAGAGAGCAGGAAAGCTAAGTGATATTGGTGCAGATTAGGGCGATTAAAACCCCCTTCTTTGACTGGTAGTTGAAGCTTTTTATACGCAATCCTAGGCCTGCCCGAGGGACCCCAGATAAATTTTAAAATAGGGAATCGGTGTTTTTTTGTGTGTGTGTGTTTTTTTGGGTGGGGGTACGTGCCTGGAAGTTGTGGTCGACTCCTGACGACCCCAACTGGGGTTTGGACATTCAGCGAGGTGGCTCTATTGCCCTGCCTCTGCATCCCGACCCTGGTATCCCTTGGAGGTCTCCCATCCAAGTACTTCCCTGGGTTTTCCCTGCTTAGTTTCTGAGATCTGACGAGATCGTGTTTGCCTGGGCTACCCAGGTCAGGGCAGAGTAGGGAATCGATTTTTGAGAAAAATCTTTGGGAGACCTCTCCAGACAGAAATCATATGTGAAATTGCATTCATTTGAAGTATGTTAATTCTGTGTTGGTCTGAAGCAGGAGAACAAACGTTGAGTCCAGCAGCACCTTTAAGACCAACAAAGTTTTATTTTGGGTATAAGCTTTCATGTGCTTGCACAATCTGAGGGAGGGTGCATGCACACGAATAAAACATTGTTGGTCTTAAAGGTGCTGCTGGACTCAAAGTTTGTTCTCCTGCTTCAGACCAACACGGCGACCCACCTGAGTCCAATTCTGCCCTACGTATTCAGAGTTAAAGAGGCCCATCCGTTGAGATCTTGGGAAAGCTGTTCCAGAATCCACTTCATAGTTACTTGAACTAGGGAACAGATCTCCCTTGGGACAAGAACACCAAAATGGTTGACAAATTCAGCAGCAGTTTTAAATTACCACAGGTTGTGAATATCAGACGAAACCGGTTCTGTCAAAGACAGGACATGAGATTTATCCCAACTAATGCAGTATCCCGCTATCTCCCCAAATTCACTGATAAGGTTAATCAGTTCTGGTAATGATTACTCAGGATCAGACAGCAGAAGCAAAATATCATCTGCAGACAGTGTGAGCTTTTTTTTTTTTTAATGGTTTTATTTTCATTTTCCATAAACAGTAAATACACTTCCTTTTACATATATTCTCATACACAATCAGGAGTCTATTATTATCCCTCTGTGTTAATCCAGTCATATAAGCGTTTCCATCTTTCCACAAATATTTTTTCATCCTTTCCTTGAAGGATTAAACTCAACTTGTCCATCTCTGCCATTTCCAGTAACTTTGATATTAATTCATCTTGCGTAGGAATATGTTCTTGTTTCCAATATCTGGCCCTTAAAATTCTCGCAGTTGTGAGTATAAAGATTATCATATATTTATCCTTCTGTTTTAAACATTCCGGTAACATGGTTAACAGCATAATTTCAGGTAGCAATTCAATTTGAACATTTGTTATTTTTAGGATAATTTTCTGTATCATCTTCCAAAACCTATATATTTTTTTCACATCACCACCACATATGAAAATAGTTCCAATGTTGTTTTTACATTTCCAGCAATTTTTAGAATATTTTGGGTTACATTTAGCTATTTTATCCGGCATCCAGTGCCATCTATGGTACATTTTACATATATTTTCTTTATAATTAACACTTCTCATATAGCTTACTGATTTCCATGTTTTCTCCCATTCTTCTAAAGTTATATTATGTCCTATATCTCTTGACCATACTATCATTGTCTTATTAAAAATATCTTCTTGCCTACGATCCTTTAGTAATATTCTGTAAATCTTCTGTATCATCTTATCACTGCTTGATGCCCAAATTTTGTCCAAATTCGATTTACCATCCTCAAATCCAATTTTTACGTCTTTAGCATACCTAGACTGGAGTTGCATTTCTTCCCACCAGGACAGCTCAATCTTATACAGGGATAACAACACCTCTTTTGGTTTCAATTTATTACTCTCATCTAACAAGATATACCATAACTTTCTCTGTCACACGGCTTAACCAGAGATGGTTTATTAAACGCTTCCAATGGTGACACCCACCTTGGCATTTTTACATAACATAACATCTAAGGTACCCACCTTGGCGTTTTTACATAACATTTCTCTTTGATATTATTCCGTACCCATAACAATGCTCCCCTTAAAACATGATATTTAAAATTGAGATGTATCTTGTCCTTCCCATATCACAAGTAGGCGTGCCATCCCATTCTTAGATCGTGTCCTTCTAATTTCAGGTTTCTAATGTTATTAAAACAGATCCAATCTCTTACCCAACTTAAAGCCGCTGCCTGATAGTATAACTTCCAGTCTGGTAACCCAAATCCTCCTCTTTCTTTCCTATCTTGTAATATTTTCCAATTCTTGCCTTTTTGGGGTACCAGATTAATTTCCTTATAATCTTGTCTAGATCTGTAAAGAACTGCGAGCTTTTAAGAATTGGTATATTTTGGGCTAGAAACAAATATTTAGGTTGTATATTCATTTTGATATGCTACTATTCTGCCCGATAAAGATAGCTGTAGATTTCCCCAACTTTGAACTTCTTTTCTAATTTCCTCTAGTAGTTTATAATAATTATCCTTTATAAGTGTGGTATTTCTGTTTGATATTATTATTCCAAGGTATTTAATTTTTTTCACTATTTCTATTCCCGTTGCTTCTTGAATTGCACTAGCCACTTTAGTTGTACAGTTTTTAGTTATTATTTTTGTTTTCTTCAGATTAATCTTTAATCCTACCATTTCTCCGAATTCTTTAATTTTTCCCAACAAAAGTTTAACGGTTTCTAAAGGGTCTTCCATTATAAACACGATATCATCTGCATACGCAAGCAACTTAAATTCTTCTCCTTGTATTTTAAGGCCCCGTATTTGCGGATCCTTTCTTACCATATCGTTTAACATTTCCAAAGCAAATATGAATAATAGAGGTGACAAGGGGCATCCCTGCCGAGTTCCTTTTTGAATCTTAATATCATTAGTCGTATCCCCATTTACAATAATTTTAGCATATTGTTTGCTATATATGGCTTTAACCATTGTCTCGAAATATATCCCACAATCCCAAGCTTTTAGTTTCTGGAATATAAATTCCCATGATATATTATCAAAAGCCTTTTCAGCGTCCAGGAACATTAATGCCATATTTTTATCCGGGTGTGCCTCATAGTATTCTATTATGTTCATGATTGCTCGTGTATTATTTTTAATTTGTCTATTCGGGAGAAAACCCGCTTGGTCTTGATGTATACTTTGGGCTAGAATTTTTTTCAGCCTTGTTGCTAATATGTTGGCGTATAATAACCGGCATTTAATAGTGAAATCGGTCTATAATTTTTGATGTCTTTAGAGTCTGTACCTCCTT